TATTCTTCTTGGTCTTCCATTTTGTCCTGACCTCTGGGCTATACATCACCAGAGAAGGACACCTCGGTTAGTGTTATCCCTGGGGGCTAACCTCTGTCTTATCATGAAAGTGGCTTTGCTTCTGTTTGTATAGTTATGGTCCATCTGCTCATAGGGGTAATACTGCTGGCTTTGTGTGTGTGTGTGTGGTACTGGGGCTTGAACTCAGGGCCTTCACCTTGAACCACTCCACCAGTGACAGAGTTTTTCGAGATAGGGTCTTGCTAACTATTTGCCTGGGCTGGCTTTGAACTTCGATCCTCCTGATCTCTGCCTCCTGAGTAGCTAGGATTACAGGTGTGAGCCACTGGTGCCTGGCTACTGTTGGTTCTGAAAAACAACTGAGGTTGGATTGGCCCTGAGAGTGAAAAGTCAACCCGGACCCTCAACTCTGGACAGGATCAGAGATAAGGCTCACCCACTGTTGGGAACTGGAAATGCCAAGTGGGAATTACTGACTACAGCCCATGAGATCTTGGCCTGTAGGATCCTACCCTCCCCTTCTCTCTACCAGGACAGGAGGCTATAAGAACTGACCCCAGAACAGGAGATTTTGTGGTTCCTACTGAACACCTTGGCCATGCTTAAAGGCACTGAGCACCCTACCATCAATGCTGAGACTCTAAGAAACTATGAGGCATAGGGCATGACTAAGTGGAATGGACACTTGTCTTTAGGGATGCCTAGACCAATCTATATAGACAGGGAAATAAGAAGATCCTGGGGCCATATGGAAAGGGAGGAAGGCTAGAATCCAGTTCCCAAATGAAATATCCAGCTATTCTCTTCACCTGTCCCTAACTACCAATCATGGCACCAACGTGAGGTTTAGGATACAAGAGTTGTGGTAGTATTTCTCCCTTCTGGCTCAGGATCTGATCCAAGTGCATATGCCCCCATAATCTAATTCATGACACCATGGCTCCCATGATGGCTCCTAACCTGAACTCGGGGGCCCCTAAGTAGGGCCTTTAATCACAGCTGTAGAGACCACTCTGACACCTCATCTGATCTGAACTCATAGATCCCTACAGTTAATATTCATCTGTTTCCTCTAATTTGGTGCTGCTGAGCCAGTGGGCGCATTAACCACCTCTCTGCTGACTGCAGAGTTCCTAGACTCTAAGGCCAAAGGATCATGATTCTGGGCAGTGTTAAGACTAGAGGTGGGACTCTGTGCTGTTAAGGCCAGGGTCTCCCCACTACATCTGTGCACACATGGCTGGGCAAGTATACTCAGGCCCACATTGGTATAATTTGGCTTACTGACTGAACACACGTAGCTTTGGGCTTCTATATAGCACTTATGCTCACGTGCACAGTAGCCTTTCATGCATTGTGCTGTGGGCCCCATATTCAGGAAGAGCAGAGGGTCTTCTGTCCTCAGAGAAAGTACTCTTGATGCAAAACGAAGGGGGGCTGTTTGAGGCTTTCCCTATCAGAGGAGTGTCAGGGGCCCCTTCTCTTTCATCCTCTGATCAGGTGCCTTGTCAGTGGTGTGGGGAATGGCTTGGATTTTGCCAAGAGCCACTCCCAGATGTTACTGCACTACCAGGTCCCCTTACAGAGGATGTCAGATGGGCCCCCAAATCACAACTGGGCTCTAGTGCCTCTTGCCTGGAGGATGACCAGGGACATGTCCCGCACTACAGCATATGAGTTTGGAGCAATTTCGTGGCCACCACTTCCAGGCAGCCCTCCTTGGTACTTAAATCTGCCCCTCCCCAAACTTTGGGGGGGAATGGGGTCTTGGGGGTCAAGTGTCACGAGGGAGGGCCCGGACCGGAAGCGGAAACGTGGCACACTTCCGGCGCCAGCGGGCGGCCATGTTGGAGCGGCGGAGGCGGCGCAGAGGCGCGTCCTGGGTCCCCGCGGCAGCGCCGGTAGGTTGGAGCAGTGGGCCTGGCCATGCTGCGCAGTGGCAACCCGCGAGGCTGCGGGGCGTAGGGGCTGGGCGGCCGGCTCTTCCCGAACCGGCGTTCTCCGCCTGCCTGGCTGAGACCCTCACCCCACCCCCACCTAGCGACCCCACCCTGGGGCTGCACGGTCCTGGTCTGGCTAGCCCAGCTGGCGGTACACTTTTCGCTGCCGCTGTGACCCCTGCCTCCCCCGCTTCAGGCCCCAGGGACGCGGACTCCCTGCCCGAGGGCCCCGATCTGCCCCTGACCCAGTCTGCCTGGATCATACCTCTCCAGCCCCCAATCTTCAGTCAACTTCCTCTACTGGTTCTAAAGGCTTGTGTGAAGGCAAGTCGGATGCCCGGCTGCAGCCTCTCCGAAGCCTCTTGGGAGCCAAGAAGACCCCTCCCAAGGGCTCAGACAGCCTGGGCGAAGAATCCCCGGGTCACCCTCAGTATCTGCGCCGGGGGTTGAGGGTGGGAAGTAGGCCCCTTTCTATTCTACAGTTCACAGCCCTGGGAACTGCACCCCCTGGAAAAATAAATAAATAAAGTCATGTGCAAGGATTGTGCATCCTCTGGGGAGGGGAAGTGAGTGCCTCAGACACCTGAGGATCCGAGAGTATTTCCAAACAAAGAGCCCCAGGGCACTTTCTCCAGGGGATTCTGAAGACTGCATCTGCTCCATTAGGGCGGTAGGAAGAAGCAGCACAGACGGGCCACAAGGCCCCAGGGACCTGCCTGATCCCAGCTGATCTTTTAATGCTCCAGTGCAGCTGGGAGCTACCTCTTATCTCTAGGAGTTCTCAAATGCTGGGTTGGGTGCAATATATTAGTCATGATTAATGGCCATAGGTTCTTCAATGAAGTCTGGGATAACTTAGGTGTACCCAGACAACTCCATCTGGGCTACTTAGATCTGTGGCCCTCTTAAACTCTAGTTAGGACAGTTCAGACTACTGATGTCCTCTTTACTCACCATCCCACTTGGATCATTTGGATCTCTGTCTTCAGACTTTGGCCTCTTTGGTCTGGCTGATTGGCCCCTAGGCGGCCTAGTTGTCTAGAGATGTCATTTGCACCTGCTACTATTTGGCTTCTAAATTTCTATTGAAGAACCTTCCAGTACTCAGGAGGCTGAGGCAAGAGGATCTCCAGTTTGAACCCAGCCCTATTAAAAAAATATATATATATATTTTTCTGGCATTGATCTCCATGACTCTAGAGCTATGAATTGGTCTGCTAGTGACATGTCTAGGGTTCTACTCCTGTCTACCATCTGGTAGTCAGGGTTCTACTCCCACCCCATCCTCTGTACTTAAACACCAGCAGCTGGAACAAGGAAAGTGGGAATGGACATTGGGTATAATCCTGGGCCCTTGCCTATATTCAAAGCTCTTTGTCACCCTGCCCTTAACTTGTTTTTCCAGCCCTGACCCCAGATTTTACACCAAGTATACCTTACTCCTCATGTTAGAGCATTCCTTTTTCGCTATATTTCCACTGAGTCCTTTTCTAGTCATCACTCATCTAGTTAGGTGTTGCCTCTCCCCAGAATTCTTCTCTGACCTATTAGCAAGCTGAACTGAGTGGTACCATATACTTCTAAGAACCTTAGTAGTGACTGTCTTACCTTCAGGACTGGCCTCCTTCATGACAGAGATATTCACCTGAGTCTAGGTTGTGGCATCAGAAAATAAGCCTAGGCTTGGTGGTGCCTGTAGTCCCAGCTTGGGACTTGGCAGGCTGAGGTGGAAGGATTGCTTGAGCCTATGAATTCAAGACCAGTCTGGACAACATAGTGAAACCCTATCTCAGAAAAGAAAATACAGAATTGAGCTGGTCATGGTACCACACACCTACAGTCCCAGTACTCAGGTTGCACAGACAGGAGGATTATGAATTCAAGTTCATCCTGGGCTACATAAAGAGACCCTTGCCCAAGGCCCTGGGTTTGATCCCCAGTGTGGGGTGGGGGGGGGTGGGGAGGGTGGCGGATGGAAATACAGAATTAAATTTAAGTGAGTCAGGTTTGAATCTCCTAGAAACCCAGCAGCAGGTTGAATGGCTCTAAGGAGTTTCTGAATGTAAATCCTGAATAAAATGCCTGATTCACATCCAGCCCAGCATGGTAGATGGTCAGGAGACCAGAGTTTGACCTCTGGCACTCTGGCCAGACTCCTCTGTTATGGAGAGTGGGGGCCTTGATTGACCTATCTGCCTGGTTTGGCTCCATTTTGGTGCCATTCTTATTGACTCTTTTCTTCTTGCCTTGGAGGTGCCAAGCGCTGGTTTGTGGATACCCAGGCAGATCTGCAGTGCCTAATGCCATGAGCGTGGTGGTACAGCATGTGGAGGAGAAAGCTGTGCACTCCTGGTCACGCATCTCCACAGCAGGGAAGAAGGCCCTGGAAGAGGCGCTGCTTGTCTTTAATCCTATGAGCCAGGATCTTAATGCCACAGAGGCCCAGCTTGTGGCCTTCCTGCAGGGTCTGCGAGATGATGGCTTCCAACCTACCATTCTGCGCAGCGGTGATGTCTATGGCTATAGTTCATGCACAGCCAACCCCCCAAGCCAAACAAAGCTACAAGCTCGTGCTACCAACCCAGCTTCCACATCACCTCCAGCCAGTGCTCCCCAGACTGCTGTGCAGCTACCTGCAGGCCGGGCCACATTGCTCTCCATGCCACTATCTGGCAGACTGGCCAAAGGGTCCACACCAGCTCTTGCCAAACATGATACCACCAACCTGCTGCTGAGCTCCCTGAAGCAGTCAAGTGCCAGCCACACCAGTGGTACAACAGTGGGCTTCCCTGCCCACCTTTATCCAGGTGTCTACCCTGCTATGAGGCTCTCTGTTGTCCTTGAGGCCCTGGTTCCACTCAAGACTCACATGCCCTGCTTGGGTGCTAAGCACAAGCCACAGTCACTGCAGCTCTCACTTGCAGACTCACCCCTGAAACTGCGGAAAGGTTCAGGGAAAGGTCCCGGGAACCCCCAGCTCAAAGCTCCCAGAAAAGCCACAAGCAAGGGCCCCAAGTGTCTGACTCCCAAAGTCCCTGGGGCTGGACTCCGACGAGGGACTGGACCCAAAAGCAAGACCTACAAAGCCACTGGGTCCCTCAGTGGCCTACAAATAAAAGGGGACTCTGACCCAGGCACCAAAACAGCCAAGGCCAAGGCAGCTCGAACACTGACCAAAGCTGCCCATGCCCAGGCCAATGTCATAGTGGCTCGAACACAGGCCAAGGCAGCACAGGCCAGGGGCAAGGTAGTGCGAGTCATGGGCAAGGTGAAGACTATGGTTGCACAGGCCAAGGCGAAAGCCAAGGCAGTGCAGGCTAAGGCCAAGGTGTCTTGGACCCAGCCCAGAGGCAGGGGCAGGCCAAAGGGATCTGTTCAGGCCAGGACTGCAAGGAATGGCCAGAAAAGCTGCTCTGAGATTGTGGGGCAGAAGAGGAAAAAGGCTGAGGAAACAAAGGATCTTCTTCCCAAGAAGAGAACACGGCTTGGGCCCCGATCTAAGGTATGGGTAGGGCCTGGAACAGCAAAGCTGCTAAAGTCCCGGGCCATAAAGGTAGATAGACAGTCCTCAGATGAAGAGGTTCGGCAGTGGGCCCAGCGGATCCTCCATGTGAACCTGTCTCCTATAATAAGGCTCCAGCCATTGCTGTCATGCTCAGCATCCTGATTGCTTCATACAGCAGTGTTTGGGAAAACAGCCCAGCTGTCTGTGTGGCCACTGGCATGGTGTGCTGTGCCTGTGAACTCTGCAGCTTTTAAGACTGGGTACTTCTCCAGGGCCCTGGTGGCCTCCAGCCTCCTTTCAGAAATGAGGACTTGGGGTAGGGTGGGTAGTGGGTGGGATGTTCTCATGGCGCAATGCACTGTGACTTGTTCTTTGAGTTGTATGTCCACTGTTCCATCTATCACGTTTTATACCTTTTCACCTTCCAGACTCCCTGCTCACCCTCCATGGTCTTTTTATTGTGTGTGTGTGTGTTTGTGTGTATGGCTGCTGGCAGGCCAGCTTGAGCCTGGGGAAAGTGGCCCCAGGAACAAGTCTGAGGAGAGGGTCCCAGTAGCCTGGGGCAGGTCATCAACTTGAATGATGGGATGGTATTATGGGAGGGGGCAGCTCTCAGGCCTATTTGGAGAGATGAAGGACAAGTCAGGTGCTGGCTTCTGTGGCTGTGTGGGAGGGATCTCCTGAGCCAGGGGCAGAACTACTATGAAGTAGAATATCTGTCCTTAAGGTTGCTTCAGTTTTTATCCAGACAGGTGCCATGTAGAACTGTGACCAGCCAGGGAAGAGAGCCTTTGTGATACTGCTCCCTGGGGGCCAAGCACACAGCTTGGCCTTGTCCCAGCAAACTGGCTGAAATCTTGGGTCTTTGCCTGGGCTTGTCTCAGGTGGGTCCAGGCTTAAAAGGACTGAGGTGCCTCTGCTTTGCTGAGAATGACTAGCTCCAACTTTTCCAATTAGCAGCAAGGACTGCGCTTTGAATCAGAAAGGCAGAGTCTGCCCTCACCAAAGAATTTTCCCCTGGTTGGATAGGGTACCTGTGGTAGTAGAGCCAGAAGGGTTCCCACCTCTACCTCATCAGTAGTGCTTTCTGACTGGACTCCAAGTTTTCTCTATCTCTCTGTTTCTGTCTCTTTCTCTGGTAGATACTGGGTTTGAATTCAGGGCCTTGTACTTGCAAAATAGGCTCTCCACCATTTGAGCCACACCCTCAGCCCTTTCTGCTTTAGTTTTTTGTTTTGTTTTTTTTTTTAAATAGTGTCTCACATTTATATCTGGGCCAGCCTGGACTACAGTCCTATATGCACTTCCAGTGTACCTGGAATGACAGATGCACACCACCGCATTCAGCTTTTTTTTTTGGTTGAGATGGGGTTTCACTAACTATTTGCCTGGGCCAGCCTTGAATTGCAATCCTCCCAGTCTCCATCTTCTGAATCACTAGGATTACAGGTGTGAGCCATTGCATCAGGCTTCCAAGTGCTCTATCTTGTGCCTCCTAACATGAGCATGTATGTTTTCAGACATTGTTTGTGTTAGACTGAAGAAAGGCATGGAAGGATAGCTGGGAAATGGCTCAACATCAGCACAGTGTTTTTTTGGAAAGAGTCTGCAGAGGTGGAAGCTAGAGCTCATTGCCACTTACAGACTAGGGGTAGAAATAAGGGGAGCTGGTAGAAAAAAATCAAAAAGGTTGCTGGATGGGAAAATTTTCCTGTGGGTCATTAAGGAATGCTGTTGCTGAGCAACTAAGGAAGATAAATTGTGGTTAGGTCACTCTTCTGTTCAACTGTCCTTGGTACCCGGAGATAAAGGTTAACTGTCCCTTTGTCATTCTTTGGGGGTCAGGTGGGGAGTTTCTAGTAAGCCACCTGCGAGAGGGAGGGGGTCTGGTTCTAACATGGCTGCCCTTACTGTTAACTGTAACATTTGGCAAATCCTACTTTTGGAGAGGGAGCTGGGACCTGAGTAAAACCACCTGTTCTGCCTATCTGAAATCTATTGCTTGCTGTATAGGCTAATGGTAGTGGCTAGGGTAGGGACACATTCCCTAGAGTTGTTTGGAGATAGTTTTTCAGCACTGTTGGTGGGAGCATCATTTCAATTAAAATCAAATCTTCTTTGTGTCTGGGTTAGCCTGGCCCCACTATTGCCAGTTGCCTTAGGTGGTAGCTCTATAGAAAGCTCTGCATGCTTCTAGATGTGTATCTCCAAGCTCTGGGAACTCTTTGCTTCCTGCTGCACTGTGGCCCTGCATACCACTTGACCCTGGGAGTTGTGCTTTCATCCATAATGTGTGGAGAATGACCTTGGGCCACACTCAATAAGGGCAACCCAGTTTGGGGCCCACTTGGGACCTCTCTTCAGGGTCCCAGCTCCCAGCACCCAGGCCACTTTCCTGTTTTGCTGCTGCAGCCAATGCCCATTGCTATCACAATGGATTATGGGTTTGGTCTTTCCTAGAGAGCTGAGGTGGAACAGAGTGTGAGGGGGGAATCAGGCTTCCTGTTGGAGGAGGGTAGGTAAGGGCCATCCCTCAGATCTCTACCAGACCTTGCACCTCCTACTTCAAGCTCCTAGAACAGTTGCCCAGGAGGTGCCAGATACACTTACCACATATGGCAGCTTTACTGAAGTTGCTACCTGCCCACTAATAACCTGGTTGTTGATTGTGGCTAGAGCCTGAGAACTTAATTCACCTGTGACCTACATGACCCAAGCCCTTCTGCATTATTAGTAACCTGCATGTGGGGAGGAGGATGAGGGTTCTGGAGAGGCTATCTTTGGGTTGTGGGAACAGTGCCCTTGAGGTGTCCTGGACAGGTTAAGTCCTGTGAGGATATGGGTCATTCTGGATAGCAGCTTGTGGATGACATTTTGGAGTAAGAAATGGACCATGTACTTGTTGCCTACTCAATCTTGGGCCTTACCCTAGAACTCTGAAAACTGCTTCTTCTGTGACTCTTGGGACCAGGGAGACCATAACACTGAGAATGTGATCTCCAGAGTAGTCATGGCAGCAAGACCTGGTGACAGGCAGAGAACAGTGAGGGTGCTGGGATGCCTATGTGTGAGTCTGGGGTTGTGGCCTGATCACTCTAACTAGCTCTTAATGGCTGCATGTATTGAGACTGTCACTGTTCATCTGGATTTAAGGGTGCCTTCTGCTTTACCCACTTCATTGTGACTTTCAAGGCGACCTAGTGCCCAGTTTGAAGGGTTGCCTTCAGCAAATGCTGTCCTTATGCCTCCCTACCAGATGGTTACCAGTAGTATTTGCTCCTGGTGACCCAAGGGCCCCCTCTGCTTCCCAGACATTCTAGTCAGCAATTCTCCATGCATGCTCAGTGGACCATTGCCTTTCCTGGCATGTGTACCTATACTTCACCCTCAACTGCTCAGGCCTCTTTCAGGGAGTCTCTCCAGCCCCTGACCACAGGTCTGTAACCATCTATAACCAGTATTACTTGGATATCCAGCCTTCCACTGAGGATGAGTTCAGGCCCAGAAGAAGTGTACCCTGGGGTGAAACCAGAGGTAATTTTTTTTTTCTTGTGATACTGGGGTTTGAATTTAGGGCCTCACATTTGCTAGGCAGGCACACTTACCACCTGAGCTACTCTGCCAGCTCCAGAGGTAATTTTCAAAGTTATGGACCCAGTCATCTGGGTGAAGGACCCAAATATCCCTGACATTCAAGGTAATCACTCCCACAGTCAATTCTATATCCTTGGAGTGTCAGGACAGAGCAAGATACTTGATGGGGGATGGAGGTGGGGTGTCCCGGCCATGGTAAGGACCATGGGATTGGAGGAGTGATGTACTGCCTGGGGGCATACACTGGTTGGAGTGGGGCAGGCAGGCTAGCCAGCTCAGTTTCTCAGGGTCATTTCCTACCTCTGCCTCACCATAATCCTTATTATAGTCTTTGTAGTTGACTCCCATCACTGTTCCCCATACTGTGCCCAGTACATAGGAACTGTCATGGGGGAACTGTCTCCATCTGTCTCCTTTCTCTGCCTTATCACTTAACCCATTTGTGAGGCCCTATTGTAGTCTTTCATTCTTGCCCCATCATTGGTCTCCATTGTGGTCCCTATCATAGTCCCTCTCTCTGCTCTTACTGCTTCTCATAACTCTCCCCTTTATTGGCCCCCAACACTGTCTCTATCATGGTCTTGTCATCCTCCTTCCTTTATTTCATGGCCTTGGCCTCAGTACTCTTGTCCCTGCAGTTACTTATAGGTGGCACCAAAGCATCTCTTGATGTGACTCCTTCCTTGTAAAGGAGTCAGTGGACTAGAGAGCTACATAACTATAACCAGTGGAGGCTGTCCAGGAGGGTAGCAAAGCAGGACAAACAGTAAACTAGCTTCATCTCTACATGCACTCCCTGCCCACTTTGATTTCAGTTATTACTACTTGCCCTGAGCCCTCACAATAGGTCCACAAGCTGGCTGTTCCTTTCCCTCTGATCAAGAAAGAGGGGAGGCAGGTAGAAGAGAAATACAAGAGGTAGTATTAACTTGATAATTGACTTAGGTGTGGAGCAGAGAGAGGAGCCATCTACCCATTCCTTCATCCTTGTGTCCATTGAGCTCCACCCTCTGCCAGGCATCTGGACAGTGTTTACCTGGGGCAGACAAACATGGTGCCTCTTCTTGGAGCTGACATGAAAGCAAAAAAGACAGTTGACAAACTACTAGTGTGGTTTGGCTGGATGATAAGCAGATTTCTAGTCTGGATGATGGACTGAGGAGTGGACTCCTTTACTGCATTGGAGAAGCAGGTTTCAGATACCTGGGGATGGGAGAATGAAGTGTTCAGGAAGTAGTGAAACATGTAGGTCTCACTTCAGGAGCAACATCAGGGCTGCACAAAGTGGATCCTTAGCCCAGCGTGGAATTATCAACACAGAGGAGGCTGTGGTCATCCTAGGATGGTACACTCAGCATAGCAGGGATGGAGAAGTCCCATAACATGGAGGAGGAGGAGGTGACTGCAAGGATGCAGAAAAGGGAAAAATTCCTTTCCTTTCCCTCTATCCTAGCTATAGAGGAATGAGGACCAAGGCACCTGGCATTTGACCTGTGTTTCTTAGAGTTCCTGTGTGTGACAAACCTCCATATAAACTCCAGGCCACACTCACTGGGCAACAGGCCCCTGGAGGGACTCAAGGGACACCCTTTCTACTTCTATCCCCTATACAAGCTCATGGCCAGAGGCAGTTGCCTATGATATGGTCATGCCTCTGAGTGCAGGCCTGAACCTGGGATCCCAGTCATGGTAAAGAACATGGGAGGGGCATCCTGTG